TATATGCATGTATGGTGGAGTGACTAACCTTTCCAAACTCCAGTTGACTGTGGGGTCATCCATCTTGTTGACAAGAATGATGAGGTGTTTGACTCCGGCTGTCTTGGCCAGCATGGCATGTTCCCGTGTCTGCCCTCCCTTCTCAAAGCCTGTCTCAAACTCTCCTTTTCTGGCAGAGATCACCTGACCATAACATAATGATGGATTAGACCAGAACCTGGAGTAGATAATGACGGCCCACTATTGTACTCTAAATACAGAGAGAGCTTGGTTGATGTGGTTGAATGTTCTGAGGGAGACACTTTCTCTTCCATAATTATTGATAAGTGATAATTAAAGCTTCTTGGTTGTCCTGTTATTTGTGTTTTTTTAATTATCCAGTTACAGGCAACAACAAAGAGATAACTCAAGCAGATTTGGAAATCACAACACAGTATTGACATGGGCCTACAAATGACCGCAAATGAAAGTCAACGTGAGACTAGGTTAACGTAGCTGTAGATAGGTCAGAATCTATACTGTCAGTACACAGTAATTGTTGCTGATTTATGGCTGAACAGACGCAGTCCCGGTCAAGATGTCTACTGGCAACAACCCGACCGTTCGGCTAACTGGGACACGACGAGATAAATGGCTAATGCAAGACATTCCGCCTGCTCGCACACGGAGACAGAGCGTAATTTGGGAAAACTCACCAGCACTGCCAAGTCAGCCTGCGACGCCCCACCGATCATGTTGGGAACAAAGCTTTTGTGTCCGGGGGCGTCGAGGATAGTAAAGTGCTTTTTCTCCGTCTCAAAGTAGGCTCTTCCCACCTCCACCGTCTTCCCCTTGTCTCTCTCCTCCTGGTTTGTGTCTAGAGCCCAGGACAGGTACCTGGGGAACCGGGAAAAACTAAATGAATGCCTGAGATGGACGATTAACAATCTCCATGTTTAATAGATTTCTAAAGATGAATGCATCTAGTCACAACAGAAGATAGGCTTACCATGTCTCTCTGTTCTTTTCTTTCGCTTCTCTTTCATATTTCTCCAGGGTTCTTTTCTCCACCATCCCTGTCAAATACCTACAACAAGGCGGAACAACAGATATCGTCTGATTAATAAACGTGATTGTTGCATGATGAATATATTGGATGAAAACGTTGTTTCTAAATAGCCGTGGGATTAGTAACAATGGCTTCACGCAGTACATGCAAATCCGAATATGAATAATAATTAAAAACCTCTTTATCATTGTGAGATACAGATGATAGGTGTGTCTCGGCTGATTCATAGATCACTTTAATAAATAATACCCACTTGCGAGTCACTGCTAGTATCGAGAGTAAGGTTGTACTCACTTTTTTTGGAGCCTTAAATTAGGTGGTAGGACAGTTTGACGCAGTTTTACAATGTACTTTTAGCGGTTTTGTCTGGCATTAGTTTAACTTCAGTAACCTTAATGTGGAAATAGTTCTGGGTTACAAGGTCATCACTCACATGATCTGACCTCCAATTGTTGATTTACCAGCATCTGTGAAAAAATAAAATCCCAAATAAACACACTTAAAACAAATGATGTAGGAAGACCAAATAGAGAGAGTTGTACACAGTATGGACCCACCTACATGACCAATGAACACCACAGTAACATATAGAGAGAGTTGTACACAGTATGGACCCACCTACATGACCAATGAACACCACAGTAACATATAGAGAGAGTTGTACACAGTATGGACCCACCTACATGACCAATGAACACCACAGTAACATATAGAGAGAGTTGTACACAGTATGGACCCACCTACATGACCAATGAACACCACAGTAACATATAGAGAGAGTTGTACACAGTATGGACCCACCTACATGACCAATGAACACCACAGTAACATATAGAGAGAGTTGTACACAGTATGGACCCACCTACATGACCAATGAACACCACAGTAACATGTAGAGAGAGTTGTACACAGTATGGACCCACCTACATGACCAATGAACACCACAGTAACATATAGAGAGAGTTGTACACAGTATGGACCCACCTACATGACCAATGAACACCACAGTAACATATAGAGAGAGTTGTACACAGTATGGACCCACCTACATGACCAATGAACACCACAGTAACATATAGAGAGAGTTGTACACAGTATGGACCCACCTACATGACCAATGAACACCACAGTAACATATAGAGAGAGTTGTACACAGTATGGACCCACCTACATGACCAATGAACACCACAGTAACATATAGAGAGAGTTGTACACAGTATGGACCCACCTACATGACCAATGAACACCACAGTAACATATAGAGAGAGTTGTACACAGTATGGACCCACCTACATGACCAATGAACACCACAGTAACATGTAGAGAGAGTTGTACACAGTATGGACCTACCTACATGACCAATGAACACCACAGTAACATATAGAGAGAGTTGTACACAGTATGGACCCACCTACATGACCAATGAACACCACAGTAACATATAGAGAGAGTTGTACACAGTATGGACCCACCTACATGACCAATGAACACGACAGTAACATATAGAGAGAGTTGTACACAGTATGGACCCACCTACATGACCAATGAACACCACAGTAACATATAGAGAGAGTTGTACACAGTATGGACCCACCTACATGACCAATGAACACCACAGTAACATTTAGAGAGAGTTGTACACAGTATGGACCCACCTACATGACCAATGAACACCACAGTAACATATAGAGAGAGTTGTACACAGTATGGACCCACCTACATGACCAATGAACACCACAGTAACATATAGAGAGAGTTGTACACAGTATGGACCCACCTACATGACCAATGAACACCACAGTAACATATAGAGAGAGTTGTACACAGTATGGACCCACCTACATGACCAATGAACACCACAGTAACATATAGAGAGAGTTGTACACAGTATGGACCCACCTACATGACCAATGAACACCACAGTAACATATAGAGAGAGTTGTACACAGTATGGACCCACCTACATGACCAATGAACACCACAGTAACATATAGAGAGAGTTGTACACAGTATGGACCCACCTACATGACCAATGAACACCACAGTAACATATAGAGAGAGTTGTACACAGTATGGACCCACCTACATGAACAATGAACACCACAGTAACATATAGAGAGAGTTGTACACAGTATGGACCCACCTACATGACCAATGAACACCACAGTAACATATAGAGAGAGTTGTACACAGTATGGACCCACCTACATGACCAATGAACACCACAGTAACATATAGAGAGAGTTGTACACAGTATGGACCCACCTACATGACCAATGAACACCACAGTAACATGTAGAGAGAGTTGTACACAGTATGGACCCACCTACATGACCAATGAACACCACATTAACATGTTCCTTCTTCGGGGCATCCGGTGGTGGAGGGACCACTTTCAGAACGGGCAACTCCTCCTCTTCTTCCTCCATCATCTCCTCTTCTTCACGTGCCTCTTCAATAAAACCCGCTTCTCCCAGGGCCCCCCCACCTGGTTCTCCTTCCCTAGGCTCCTCTTTGTGCTCCCATGTGTCCTCCACAGCCATGTCTGCTTCTGTCCCTCCGTTCTCTACTGGAGCTTCAGGACACAAATGCTCAATTAGTATATATATATAATTATATAACACTCAGCTAATTGTACAGGTGCATTGTGGGTATATAAGGTGAACTAGAAAAAGAGCACAGTGTTTAGATGTTCCCAGTTTTGAGGGAGCACTTTGGAGTGTGTGCTGCACAGTACTTGGACTTGACATTACATGGCTCGTCGAACAAATATCTTTGACCTCTAACTTCTTTCAACATGACAATAAAATTCCTATCGTACATTTATTACAATCTCTGTAATACAACCTATGTGCTATTGAAAACTTGTCAGCAGTCACACAGAAAATGGTGTGCGTGACTCTTGCATAGCCATATCTTTTAACTGTAGTATTAAAAGATTTAACAAGAATATTGCACTATTGAATTGCATATGCATTTGGACTTCTTTATCGTGATGCATTAGTGCAGACACAATATGTTAAAATGATGGGATTCTCAAAATGCCCACAATTCTGTTTCACAATTAAACTCTGATTTTATCACGATATGAGGTGGGTGGCAAGTGTAGGCAAAAGGTACCTGAGATTGTCAGTCACATGAGCAAGTCCTTACACACACTGATCTGGCTGACTTCCTAAAGTGGCCTGGCTGCGATTCCTCAGAGGAAGGCATGCCGATACCAAAAACTCCCCCAAGCCCGTTTCAATAATCTTTTATGATTTGATAAGATGGCAACCTCTATCTTCTGCAACATGAACCCACAATATAACTTCACCAGTCTCTAGGAACTCACCATTCCCTTTGGCAAGTGTCACGGTAGTGGTGAGCTTTGTTGCACACATGGGGTTTGGTGGGGTGCACTTCTTGTTTTCCAGTGGTTGCTTGGAATTGTAGACAGCTGTTCTGAGTTCAGCAATTAGCGGGTTTATTTAAGAGTCTGGGGTAATGTCACTGGTTGCTGGTTATTATTTCCATGTCACAAAATATCGTAGGTGAGTGTTTGTCGTTTGATTTAGACCACTGTTTTTGTCTTTTAGTAGTTGCTTGTATGCGCACTGTTGTTGTCAATTACAGTGGTTATATGTTTTTGTTGGATTTTGTTTTTGTTTTTGTGTTTTTGTATTCTATTAAACCCGATCAAGCTCTGCATTTGGCTTTATTCTGCACTCCACCCTGGAGTCGTGACAGCAAGCAAAAGTTACTGCCAGGTGTCACATTATAAATCAGGCTACGTAACCTGAGTAGTTGTCCAAACTGCCAGTGTTCCCTAGCAAAAAGAAAACAACTGACTTTTGCATATATATATATATTGATATGGCTGGTATATGGTTGACCATAACACCATAAAAATTTTATTTAACCTTTATTTACCAGGTAGGCCGATTGAGAACAATTTCTCATTTGCGACTATGGGAGAAGCTGGGGATTGAACCCAGGACATCATACATACCGACATGCACTATACCAGTAAGCCACCAACTCCTATTTGGTTATAAACGTTAAACACACAGCATATCCTCTGTTTTCATGTGTCCCGTGTACACGTCTATTTTAGGCAAAGGTCTGTGATGTTGCATCATGCTATAGATGAGCCTGCCAATCCTCCCAGTTCCCCTGAAACAGGCATTCAGGCCCAGGCTGCCAAACCAGTGAGCAGTAGGCCTAAACATACATACATTTCCGAGGTCTCAATAAAGAGGTGGTAAACAATACTGAGTGAAGGACATGTGAAATCTCTTGAGGAATAACTTGGCTGGGAGTTGGCAAGGCAACATTTTGCTACTAAAATGAATACTTGAGACCTATTAAAGGACTTCAATAAAACGGTGATACATACCGTGCTGACACTGTCTGTTATTGTCTCCTTAATATAGAACAGCATGGAAGATACAGTGAATTACATAATAATAATAAACTTAAAAACACGACATACCAACTGTTTCGGACACCTCCATCCTGGCAACTGGCTCAGCTGTAAAGACAAGTTTACATACACTGATGTCTATATTGTTGTAATAACAGTGGCATTGATGCTTTATGTACAGGCATAACCGTATTATTAGTCAGTATTGGTGTCACCTTAACAATAACATTAAGAGGGAATAAACGTTGCACCACCATGCAAGCTGTTACCAGATTATTAGCTCTTAGGAGATTGCTATCTGCAAACTCAATGTAGCATGAGTAGCTGTCAAAATATCGTTATTCCAACACTCCCCAAGTAAGACGCAATGATCATACCTTGACTGGTATCGGACACTGCTGTTTCCGTGGGGGTGCTCTGAAGAAAGGTCGGTACAAACACCGCCGCGTTGATATTTGGGACAAACGGCTTGGCGTTGACGTTGAGAGCGGCGAGTGCGGACTGGAGTCCCGTGGCGTCTCCGGCCTCCACATCCTCCTCCTCCTGCTCCCACGAATCCGGGGCAGTGTCTCGCAGGTCCATGGGAGAGCCGCTTTTGCGCGCTTGACTGATTAATGTAGCTGGCTAGACGTGTTGTCTTGCTACTTAATGAATGCCTTGTTGTGATGCTTTACTCTGTCTTGTTTTCGGAGGCATATGTTGCGCTGGTGTTGTCTCACGAACGCGAGACCGAGGAAGAGACAGAAGTGATCCGACACAGTTGTACAAAACCACCAGGGGGAACCCGAGAGCAGGCAACCGCAGGAACTACAGAACAATGCATTCTGGAAGGTGGGGTTGAATAAAACTTTGCCATTGTGTCCAAATGAATGTTTATTATCAGTATTATAGTAAGTGTATACACAACTTTTTTAGTAAAATGAGAAAGTTAACAGTAACATATTTAAAAAGCGCTTTATCAACAAAAGCACCAAATAGTACAGTGAAACATTATCAGTATTTGACAAGTACAATAAGGAACGCTTCAATATTCCAAAGTTGTCAAACTACCAAAGGCTCTCTTGGAGATAATAATGAAAAAGAAAGAAAAATTATACTGAATAGTACAACAATTGAATTCCAGGCACTTGGATAATCAAACCTAAAACGCCATCATTGCATTCTTTGAGTGCCTGGAATAAAAATGTTCCTTACTTAAACATAATCAGTAATTACATATATTAAGATGTTCCATAAACTATTTCATATGGGTCCTCTCCTCTACTTCCATGAGGGCCTTTCACTCTTTTGCATCAGCAACCCCCCCTGGAGTGATGGCAAATGTGGCCTCGTTCTCCGGCATATCCGGACTTCAAGAGAAAGAAAATAACAAACCTACGTGAAGTGAAGGTAGTTCTTCGTCCATAGGTAGATAATTACATATGACCGCAGCTTAGTAACAGAGTTGTTAATACCAAGAAACAGTCATTATTTAGTGATTGAAGTTAACTGTGAGATAAAATACCTGTCAAAAATCTTGGCAATTCTCATCTCCCCTCGTCCTTTCCTCAAGCTGATCCTTGTGGTGGACGCGTGTGCTAGGATGTGTCCTCCAATCGGCTTCTTGGGATCAGCTTGAAACCTCACAGAAACAAGAGTAACACTCAGATCTGAATTCCAAGCAAAAAATCTGGTAGAACTTTTTTAAGAAAGTCAACTGCTGTCCAATCCAACCCTGATTCCCCTAAGCACTTACGACATCCCAGCTCCAGGGTCTGCAGTCATCTGGTTGGTGACGAACACTGCAACATTGTACTCTAGGTATAAGATATACATGTGTAATAATGAATATAAAAAAGCTAGCCAATGCAATGCAAGGTAAATGCAAATTTTGGCATGATGATGCATTGTTTCTAGAGTTTCCATATAAGTCTGTAGGACCAGAGGCCAGACCTTCAGAGATCTTCTGTAGACGGGAGAGCATCTGGGCCAGTTTCTGTTGTCTCTCAGCTAACTCCCCTCGGCCAGAGAAATCTACCCGGAACAGAGCCATTATGGAGTCTATGATCTAAGATGATGAAAGGGAAAAATGCTTATTATGTATCATATCTTTGGGAATTAAAATGTAACCGAGAGTCTTGTGTAGCCATATCGCCAAAGTCAGGTAACATTCATGCCTCCCTTAAGAGATGAGCGTCGTTTTGTTTCAGCAAAATATGATTAATGGGCCACAAATTTATTTGGATTTTACTTTTCAGAAACCCTCCAAAACCCCATTAAGCCACATGCCCCACTGGTACCATTTGATAGGTTCAACATTGTGGCCAGACCAAGTACGAATATGTTTGTTTTTGCCATATTTTGAGTGAGCAGAATGCATTGGTGGAGCACCACCCTAGCAAGGCATTTGTCTGGTGTTCAATCTGTCAATATGGTAAACATAATACAATGTCATAGGCGATATCGTTCATCTTTTCTATTCATACCAGAAGTTTGAAGACTCCTCCTTCCTCATGGAATTTGGCTGCAACGAAATCCAACAACTCCATCTGGTGTTCACCTGAAGTGTGACCAAATAAGGCATACGATGGAATATAGTGCATTTCAGTATGGAAGTAAGCAAGTCCACAAGGATCCTGTATAGTTAGAAAACAAAGCAGTCACAACATTCTGTATATAGATGTAAATATTAGCATATAGTAAGTTGAGGTGGTTCGGGCATCTTGTACGAATGCCACCTGGGCGCCTCCCTAGAGAGGTGTTCCAGGCACGTCCAGCTGGGAGGAGACCTCGGGGAAGACCCAGGACTAGGTGGAGAGATTATATCTCCACACTGGCCTGGGAACGCCTCGGGATTCCCCAGTCAGAGCTGGCTAATGTTGCCCGGGAAAGGGAAGTTTGGGGTCCCCTGCTAGAGCTGCTACCCCCGCGACCCAACCCCGGATAAGCGGTTGAAGATGAGAGAGATATATATATATATATATGCAGCGCCTTGCAAATAGTGCTGCAGATTCTCAATGAGATTGAGATGTTTGAAATTGTCCATTCCAAACAAAAATCAGCCACATTTCACGATTGGTGTTGACTTTCTACAGGGACTGTATAATGTGGCTTAACATAAAATATCTGACCTAACAATAAAGCAGGAGTCCTATATTCTTCAATGTTGTATTGGCTTGACACAATTCATGTTGCGCAGCCGTATATTTACATTCATATAGAAAGCCCTGATCCAATAGTTTTCTGAAAAGACTGCAAGTTAGATTTCTTACTAGTGTAGGCTCGGGCATATAAAACATTATCCAGTACTGCATCATGGTCCACATTGAACCGGTCTGCTATGTCCTTCAACCTGTCTGGACGACTAGAGACCCATGTGAGTTTAATAAAAAAAACAAATCTTCAGAATTGACACATTAATAAAGTTGAGAAAAAAACACTGTCACACCGATGTATCCTCGGAAATACAAAGCAGACTTTATAGAGCTAGAGTAAATTAGGATACAAGGTATTCTCCGTGTCGATGAAGATGACTTTTCCTCCTGTGTATCCTTCCTCCCCGGGAAGCTGAGCAGTGACTGGAGAACAACAGAGAAAATCTGAATAACCAGTGCCAACATTTTTTTAATATTCCTGAGAACTGTCTTCCGAAACAGTAGAACATACCACAGAGTGTGTGAGACAGCTGGGTCTTGCCTGTCCGAAACTCTACGTGGACAAAAGACTTACAATAGTCTGACAAAAACATGTCATGTTTTATAACTGACCCAGTGCAGCTCAATTTTCTACAAAATGTGCAGGAGATTAATCATACATTTTATTAGGAGGCACAGAGTCAAAGCTCACCTCCGAATGCCTCAGTGATTGCCATGCTTTCCATACCTCCCCCAAGCAGTTTACTGCAGTGAAGACAGCAGGAAGAATAGGATGTACTGTGTTATTGTCTCAGGGAAACGTGTTACTATGAAAGGGCATAACATTATTAGTATTCTGGGGTGAATCTTAAAGATCTCAACTCAAACTCCAAGCTTCCAGTTGTGATGCGGAACACCTGTTTTCTTTTTGCACTGTATTCAAATGCTGTCAGGAATCCATTGGTCTGGAACACAAGATCACACGAAAACAACAGATTTTATTTATGTAATAGTTGAAATCAAGTCAAATCTAATCAGACCGATATTAGCCATTGGCTTTTCACTTGAAATTAATTAGTTACAAGGTGAATCTCTCACCAGCATTTTCCCAGCAGCCTCTTTGATCTTGTCCACCTTAGCCTCTGAAAGGCCCTTGATGTTACACAGGGCTTTACGTGTTGTCATCTGGATTCCCTTAACTGTGCAAATGCCCACAGACTTCAGCTTCTTTAAATCTGCCATGTTCTTTATTGACACACATAGTTGAATAAAACAAGAGGAGCGACAGAGCACGGAGGAAGTTATTTACTTATTGCTTTTGTGGTCAGGTCTCCTTGACCTTGTTTATAAATACATGTACTCACGATTCCATGCTTCTGAAGGGTATCTATGTCTTGGAAAAAAGACTCCTGTGGGTAAAGAAAGAGCATGACCAAACAAACACTTTTTTATCAATCATGTTGAAAATATTTCTGTCTGATACACCATTTAGGCTTCATTAAAGTA